TATCTATCTATCTATCTATCTATCTATCTATCTATCTATCTATCTATCTATCTATCTATCTGGGGTGGGGAGAGCTGTCGTTCCTTGGTGCCCTCTGAGCTTGGTTGTTTCCTTGAAGACATTTCCTTGTTCATTCCCCAATTGTTCATTTGCAAATTCCGCTCCCTTGTAGTCCTGATGATGATAGCAATGGGGTAATGAAACGTCCGCAAGAAAAACCGCAGAGAGAGAGACAGAGAGAGAGCCACATGTCTGTGGAGATTCTCAGTCATTCCTGGTTTGTCTCAAAAGTACTTTTTCAAAAGGCAGCTGTTTTTCTTTGAAGACGTTTCACTTCCCATCCAAGAAGCTTCCCCTGTTCTTCTGATAAAGCTGCTTGGGCGAGGGTCTCGTCAGTTCTTCTGATGAAGCTTTCTTGGGTGAGACGTGAAACGTCTTCTTTCTCAAGGAGAAAAACTCCAGAAAAAGTGCTTTGAAAAAGCACCTTTGAGACGAGAATTCCACAGTTCAACTCTGAAGTGTAAATTTCCTCTTCTGTTGGAAAAGAAAGTTTCTGTTTTTTAAAAACCTGAACTCCCCCTTGGTGTAAGAACCTGTTTTCCCCTGAGTTTTGAATTGCAGCCTGGATGGATCACTTTTAGCCTGGGCTCCCTCTGTGACAAGCCAAACTTGAACAGTTTGTAAGGATGTAAGGAAGCAAATGCAACAAAGGAATATGCTTTTCTTTTCTTTTCTTTTCTTTTTTCTTCTCTTCGGCTTCCTCTTTGCACCTTCCTGATTGCCTTGTTTTTCTTTCAACCTAGATGACTCAGTGCTTAAAGTGCAGTGGTTTATTACGGTCTGTAGCTGAATGATGATCTTTTTGCAGTACTTCTCTCTGTTGGACGTCACTCTTGACGAAATTCCTTTTTGACTTTTGGGGAATTGATGTTTGTTTGGTAAACGTCAACCTGAAGACCTTGAGTCAACAAATTAAATGCTATGAGGATGTTGAAATAGGTAAAAGATGGAGATGAGAGGTACAGGCTACGAGAGGAATGTTAAATATAGTTGAATTGAAATGATGTCTTCCTTAATTCATTTCCCAGATGAGAGAAATATTGTTATGTGAAAGAATAAAAGCAGTTTTTGAAAGTGGAAGTAATTTTTTAAAAAATATCCTAGATTATACTTTTGGCCAGAAGCTCAAATTCTCGTATAGATAGGAAATATCTGTAGGTGTTTCAGAGGAACTGTAACTAAAACTAAATTAAAACTAAACTAAAACTGTAACTAAAACTTAAAACTAAAACGCATTTGTTAGTGGAAGCAGCTTCAAACTTGCTTTCAGTAGCAACTGATATAAATACTTCGGCATTGAAATGTATAGTTTTGCTTTGATATAATTGTTCCGTTTTAATTTCATGGTACTTTAATGCAATCATGATATGTCTCTCCTAGAAGATTGTTTTCATCTTTCCTCTAACTCAGTGTTTCTCAACCTTGGTGACTTTTAAGTCCCGTGGAGTTCAACTCCCAGAATTTCTCAGCCAGCTGGCTGAGGGATTCTGGGAGTTGAAGTCCACAAGACTTAAAAGTTGCCAAGGTCGAGAAACACTGCTCTAACTCTTCACGTATGGAATACCACTTCTTCCTGTTTGGCAGAAAAAAATCTGCACATTATTTTGGCAGTCTGTTGTTCAGTGTTACATAGACGTATACTGCCTTTGATTTGGGAGGAATGTGATTAAATGTTCTTAAAATTGTAGAATACAGTTCTGTTGAATGAAACACTTTGGATTTATAAAGTACCGCAACAAAGATATCTATATATCTTCCTTTTAAAATACTTCTTTATAATAAATGCCTAATGGAGATTCTCAATCATTCAGGCTATGGTTGTCCTGAAGGTGCTGTTCCAAACTCTACTGAGCGTCCTTGGCTTTTTCTCGAAAATGTTTCACCTCTCATCCTAGAAGCTTCTTCAGTTCTTTACAATAATTCACCACGACTATGGATTACAATGTTGTATAGTCATATCCATTCAGTCAATAAATTGGGAATTAGACTTTTGGATTGCTAAGTGGTCTCTGATATGAGACTTGAAAGGATTTAACCAAACCAGAGTCTCTCAACCTTGGCAACTTAAAAGATATGTGGACTTCAGCTCCCAGAATCCTCCAGTCAGTCCATACATCCTCAAGTTGCCAAGGTTGCCAAACTGATCCAAGTCACATGACGAATGCCTGGGTATCTATATCAGGTTTCATTAACGATAGCTCATGTAACTATTGGTGTTAGAGTGATAAATAAATTCTAATGCTATCTGAAACTTTATTCTTCCGTGTTATGTAAAAATTACCGTTCCCATTTGATTTGCCAATCAGAAGTGATCCGTTTAAAGTAAAGTATATATAGAAGTTTGATAATTGAGAGTTTTGATAGGGATTCTGTTGGGTTCCCAGGGACGCGGTGGCTCAGTGGCTAAGATGCTAAGCTTGTCAATCAGAAAGGTCGGCAGTTTGAATCCCTAGCGCCGCGTAACAGAGTGAGCTCCCGTTACTTGTTTCAGCTTCTGCCAACCTAGCAGTTTGAAAGCATGTAAAAATGCAAGTAGAAAAATAGGAACCACTTTGGTGGGAAGGTAAGAGTGCTCTGTGTGCCTTTACCACATGACCACGGAGATGTCTTTGGATAACGCTGGCTTTTCAGCTTTGAAACGGAGATGAGCACTGCCCCCTAGAGTCAAGAACGATTAGCACATATATGCGGGGGGAACCTTAAACTTTACCTTATTGGGTTCCCAAGGAATGTTAGTTGCAGCGCTATGAACAACATACTGTAATTTAATTGAACTGTTTGTATCAAACGGAACAAGCTTGAAAGGGAATTTTGGAACTCTACTTGCTTTGACAGTGTTTTCCTTTATTTTGAAAAACAGATTGTTATATATAAAACCAAAAAAGAGGAGAAATATTGTTCATTAATCTCTGTTATTTAGGGGTCACTGAGGGCAGAGTAAAAATTCAGCGGTGGTTAATTCTCCTTTCAGTCTTCTTGCATTATCAGGGTTTCTGATTCTCCTGTAGCTACTTGTTTTCAGCTTCTCAGTCCTGTTGCGTGGGCACAACTATGTGCCACTTCCATGGCAACCATCTCCAGTTGTTGACTGTTCTTCAAAATAGGTGGTAAATCTATTCGGATTAATTGAAAATGTATATAATGTATTGATGAGTCGGTGGTTGCATTTTGATGATGGTATTTACCTAGTGATTCATTTGAAATGGCTGCATCTTAATACGGTCAGTTGGCTCTTCGATTTCAGAACCAAAGTCAGGTTATAAACTCTGTTATTTCCCCTTTAAGTTTGATGTTTATATAAGTAATTCCCAAATATAACCGATCAGCAGTTTTCTACTCCTTGCTTAGTGTAGTAGCATTAATTATTTGTATGTATTTCTGGCAGTCTTTCTGTTCACTTTGTGGTGATTGCATTATACAATTCTATATCATGGGATACTCAACTGATTTTTTTTAAAAAAAAAATAACTTTAATATGTATCCAGCGCACATTTCAAATTTTAATATCATGCAAGACAGGGTAAGCAGCCCTTACATTGGCATATCAGTCAAAATCCAATAAAAATGTTAAAGCTATGTGCGTGACATATCACCCAGTGATGAGTGATTTTCTATTTGTGATACTCAAAATATTCTCTCCCCTAAACAATCCAGCAGTGTCCAAAAATTGCTGTAATCTAGAATGGATCTCAGATTTTGTCCCTTAAAAACAAAAATAACTCCACGAGCTTCTGCTTAGGACCCAAATTTCGATGTATTTAATACGTCAGAAAGGGGTGCTCAGTGGCTAAGACACTGAGATGGTCGATCAGAAAAGTCAGCAGTTTGGTGGTTCAAATCCCTACTGCTGTGTAACGGAGTGAGCTCCCGTGACTTGTCCCAGCTTCTGCCAACCTAGCAGTTCGAAAGCATGTAAAAAATGCAAGTATAAAAATAAGGACCACCTTTGGTGGGAAGGTAACAGCAATTTGGCATTTAGTCATGCCAACCACATGACCACGGAGAGGTCTTTGGACAGCGCTGGCTATTCAGCTTTGAAATGGAGATGAGCACCGCCCCCTAGAGTCAGGAACGACCAGCACATAATGTGCGAGGGGAACCTTTACCTTAAACACATCAGAATATTTAACTTCTTTTATTCTATTTTGTTCTCATTTACACTTGACACCAAAAGATTAAACTTTTGTTTTGCTTTCAAGGCAAATTCCTTATTGACACACTTCAGACTTGGTTGAAAACTCAATTTTCCCTGCCTTTTCATGCTGCTGGCTTGAATAGGAGTGGGGGGTGGGGGGAATCCTTTCAAAATAAAAAAAAGTATTAGCCGTTATACTTAGTTAACTATAGATGCAGCTCAAGATGTGTCATCTCTGGGATATTTTTTACTTCTCATTTTTCTATACTAGAAGTAAATGGAGATGTTTAGGTTTTGTATTTTGCCAGATGAGTTACAGACTTATTGATTATTACTTACTATTTTAAAAGACAAAAGAAGACAGGTTTTTGGATTATTCAGGACAAAAGGCACCTTGCCTTCTTAATGGCCCTGCCCACTGCCCACTATTTTTCCTGAACTCCCGTAAAGCTCATTGTGTTATCACAGCCACCTGAGTTCCATGAGGCTCTTACATTCTAGGGGGAGCATAGTGACTCAGTGTCAGCCAGCCAGATTGGTTTCACCACAAACATGTAGCTGGAACAAACATTTTTTGGGGGGTTGAACAGCAAAATGCTTTTATGCCTTTCCTTCCCAGGCCAGGTAGGACCACAGAATTAGGTTACAAGTAAATCATAAACCTGTAGTATCAGGGATTGGTAACTTTGACATAGCTCGTTTTGGGCTGTTTAGCCAGTGCAGGTCACCATAAATAATCGCTTTTTGTCTTAATCTTCCTGACTTTTTTTTTTTGTATCCAACAACTCTTTTGAGTCATAAAAGGGGGCTTTTTTGTTGTACATCCCTGTTGTGTTTCATCTTCTTCCTTTACCAATCGGATTGTGATCTTGCCCCCCCCCCCTTTTTTTTTTGCCCCTCTGCAGGTAGCGTAAGGTTTTCCTCTACCTCGCTGAGGACGGTGAAGTCATCCCCGGACCTTCCGTGACAGTGCCTGAACAGCCCGGATATGATGCCAAAAGATCTCCAAAGTATTTTATAGTTTGACCCAATGATTCTTCTGGATCTATATTTCTCTCTTCAAGAATAAGTGCAAAGACCAAATCCTACTTACTACCAGATATTTTTTATTGCAAGATCATGGACCATATTACTAGGGAGAAAGATGAAAGGCGAACAGGGAAAGGGAATCCAGGAAGAAGCACGCACAGTTCTCGAGCATCAAGTTCCACTTCGGCGGCTGGAGTTCTCATGGTCGGGCCCAATTTTAGGGTTGGCAAGAAGATCGGCTGTGGCAATTTTGGAGAGCTCAGGCTAGGTAAGAAGAGCCCGGCGGGTTCAGCAGCTTTCAATCCTGGCTAGCCAGAATCTCCTCCCACAAATGGTCCTCGACTTAGGACCACCACTGATCCCCAAATTTTTGTTGCTAAGTGAGACATTTGTTAAGTGAAGTTTGCTCCGTTTTATGATCTTCCTTGCCACCGTCGTTAAGTGAATCACCGCAAGTGTTAGGTTGGTAACACGGTTGTTAAATGAATCTGCCTCCCATTGACTTTGCTTGTCAGAAGGTCATAAGTGTGAAAAACACAAGTCACTTTTTTCAGTGCTGTTGTAACTAGGAAAGGCCACTGAATGAATCATCGTAAGTTGCCTGTACATATAAAACGCTGCATGTAGTGGTAGCAACGTTTCCTTTTTATCTGTTGCTATAATGCATACAGGCATCATATACATACATGTAACACAGCTTTCTGACTTCCTGTTTGTTCCTTTTTAATGAACTTTGGTTTAGTATTCTTGACATTAATTGGGATTTTTATTACTTGGGTGTTACACCCCCTGCTTGTAATGTAAAGTATTTTGAGGAATAATTCTTTCCTGTATTTCGATATTTACTTTTCAAAGTATATAGACCAGTGTTTCTCAACCTTGGCAACTTGAAGATGTCCGGACTTCAACTCCCAGAATTCCCCAGCCAGCGAACGCTGGCTGGGGAATTCTGGGAGTTGAANGGAAGGCCTGGAGGGTGGTGAGGGTCCGAATCTCCACGGGGAGTTCATTCCAGAGGGCCGGAGCAGCCACAGAGAAGGCTCTCCTCCGGGTGGTCGCCAGTCGACACTGGCCGGCGGATGGAATTCGGAGGAGGCCTAATCTGTGGGATCTAATCGGTCTATTGGAGGTAATTGGCAGTAGGCGGTCTCTCAAGTACAGTGGTCACGTGATCCCCTTTTCAGACCTTCTGACAATCAGCATCAACGGGGAAGCCCGATTCACTTAACAACCGTGTTAGTAACTGAACACACTGCAGTGACTCCTTGAACAATTGCAGCAAAAAAAAGGTCGTAAAACGGGGCAAAATTCATTATAGGAATGTCTCAATAAACAACTAACATTTTGGGCATAATTGTGGTCGTACGTCCAAGGACTACCTGTATTTTGTCGGGAACCTTCCTGCGAACCTGGGTGTTCACACTGTATTTTTCCTTTTCAAAAGGGTTTTTTTCTTTTTTCCCTTTTGAACGCGGGGAGTGTTATTCTTGTTTTGCTTTCAGCGAATGTGATTCACCCGTGTCTGTGTTTTATTTTCCAGCCCACTCCGGTGGGACCCATGCATATAGAATCGGGACCATCTGTAATGAGAGACGCCCACATACACCGGGATCGATCCTCCGTACAGCCTTACCGAAATCAGGTTGGTTCATCTTATGCCTTAAATGCTTTAAATGTGCCTCCGTATCTCCAGCCTGCATTCCTAAAAGGGGCACCTAGAAAAGCCGGGGATGTCAATGGCCTTATTAATACTGCTCTTCGTTTTACTCCTCTGGCTGCTTTTAGGGTGGGTGAATCTGTTATTTAAAATAAGAATACAAAATGCTCAGGTCTCCAGTGCTAATTGGGAGAAATGACAATCTGAAAACAGAGATTCAACAGCAGTGAGAAAACTAGTTTTCACCCTTAACGACCGTAGCAGCATTCCCATGGTGACATGATCAAAATTCAGACCCTTGGCAACTGACTCATATTTATGACGGTTGCGGTGCCCCAGAGTCACGTAGATCCCCTTTTGTGACCTCCTGACAAGCAAAATTTTTGATTGTAAGCCGCCCTGAGTCCCCTCAGGGAAAAGGGCGGCCTATAAATAAATAAATCTACAAATCTACAAATCTACAAAATCAATGGGGGAAGCCAGGTTCACTCAGCAGCTGTGTCACTAACTGAACAACTGCAGTGATTCACTTAACGAAGGTGGCAAATGGGGCAAAACTCACTTGATAAATCTTCCCCTGAGCAACAGAAATTTTGGGCCCAAATGTGGCCGTAATTTGAGGACTACCTGTATATAGATTTATTTTCTGTTTTTAAACACAGGGAACGCACTTCTGCCTCGACTGCGTTGTGCTTTTAGGCCATGGGTGTCAAACCCAAGGCCCGGGGGCCGAATCCTGCCCGCAGGGTGCTTAGATCTGGCCCACTGGCCCCCCTGGAAACAATGAAGGTCTGGCCTGCGGTGCATCTGCCAGCGAAAACGGAGCTCGTGAGAGCTGCGGGTGACCCTCCTGAGCTCCATTTTCACTGGCTGGGGGCTGCAGAAGACAGTCACAGGCAAAAAGGGAGCTCAGGGGCCCGTTTTCGTGGGTAGAGCACTCGGGCCATCACAGGCTCCCCCGACATGAGTGCCATCAAGCTGGCCACGCCCCACCTAGCTATGCCCCCCCTCTCCTTCCGAAGTCAGACACAACTCTGATGCGACCAGGGGTGGTATTCGCTTTCTTTCCCTACCGGTTCACAAATGTGAGTCCGTGTGCCCCTGTCCACGCATGCGCTCGGCCTTCCCCCTATGCGCCTTGATCGTGCATGCGGCTTGCACACATGCGTACGGTTTGAAAACGTGCCTAAATAAGACAGCATAGAGCCGGGGCAGGCGGCCCACCCACGATTTCCACTACCGGTTCAGGCGAACCGGTCCGAACCGGCTGAATCCTCTGGACGCGGCCCTCAATGAAATCGAGTTTGACACCCCTGCTGCTGTAGGCCTCCTTGTCAACGGGAATATTCGATGCCCAAAATGCTTTGCTTCCCTCTCCCTCTTGAGCTTTTTTCACACGCTTGCTTGGTTCTGGTTCACCTTTTTGCCTTCCCTCCGGTCTCTCTGCTTTCCTGCATGCTGATGCCTGGGCAGCCTGTGTCCGAACGCAGAGGAGAGTGGGAAATCCCGGCAGTCCGGCAGACCAATGCTATGTTTCTGGCCTCTCACTTGGCTTCCGAACGGCATGGGGGATCTGTCCAGGTATTGCTTTTTTTCCCCCCTCCTCCTCCTCCTCTTCCTCTCCCGCACAGCTGCTTGGCTATCTCCCCTTGGGCATGCACAGGGTCCCCTCCCTCTTTTACCTGCAAGGTTTGGCTTCTGCTAGAATGATGAGGGCGGACGGGCATGACATCAGAGGTGCGTGAAAGGCTTAGAACGGAGTGTGATGTTGCTGTCTTGCCATGCTGATTCTTTAGGAAGGCCTTTTCCTAGTCTGGACATCCTCCACAGGTGTGAACTTCAAGGAAGACTAATCTGGCCGGAGAAATGTTGAAATTAATCCACATTAATTGGAGGAGGCTCAAATTGGGGAAGGAGTTTTAGGCAGAACCTAGACCAGTGGTTCCCAAAGTTGGCAACTTTAAGACTTGTGGACTTCAACTCCCAGAGTTATCCAGCCAGAAGAGCTAGCTGGAGAATTCTGGGAGTTGAAGTCCACAAGTCTTAAAGTTGCCAAGTTTGGGAACCTCTGACCTAGACCACAAATATAAAAATTCGGATTTNCTCCCAGAATTCCCCAGCCAGCGAACGCTGGCTGGGGAATTCTGGGAGTTGAAGTCCGGACATCTTCAAGTTGCCAAGGTTGAGAAACACTGATATAGACAATCATTAAAAGATTGATTAATTATTTGCAGAAGATAGGTTATTGGGGATAATGTGAGTTGCAAATGAAAGTTGATAATAAATAAACAAGCTATAGAACCTTTTTTTTTAATTTTAGAGAAACCTAACAGCTAAAAATAATAATTTGCATATCCTGGTTGCTATTTGAAACAAAATTCTCTCTTGCAGGCAAAAATCTTTACACAAATGAATATGTAGCAATCAAGCTGGTGAGTACTTTTGTGGTTTTAAAACATTTCTGCATGCCGAAGATTATCCCAACAAGAAAAAAATTTCAAGCCACATTTGTCCTGATTACATCCAGCCTACATTTCATATATGTGCTGTAAAGTGATACTACCTTTAAATTTTGTAGAAACCAATTCAGTATCTGCTGTGCTGCTCACTAAAACCAATCCTTGCTCAATTTAAATGCCAATGATTGTTTTTAAAACTCTTACTGCTTGCCACCAAGTTTTTAAAAGGACTGCAGCAGATGAATGGCAGAATCTAATATGAGGAATCCTGCTTACATGCCCGTCCATCAGCTCACCTAAGTCGGTGGGCATGAGAAATAGATTGATTTATGTATTGAATTGGTTTGCGTCCATCTTGCTCGCGATAATAGATTCGGTCTGAAAGAAGCCATTCTGACCAATTTTGGAATACAGAACCGTTTTCTATGAGTTGAGTGGGCTGTTTTAGGATCAGAATGTTTTGAGAGTGAACGTTTTGCCATGTTTGTCATCTTTCCTATGAAGATGACACAGTCCTAATATGGGTATGTATACATTTAGGAAATGATCATATATTTTAGCATTTATCAACCTTGGCAACTTGAAACCGGGTGGACTTCATCTCCCAGAATTCCACCTAGCAGTTTAGGAGTTGAAGTCCACCTGGCTTCAAGTTGCCAAGGTTGAGAAACACTAATATATCTCATTGAACATTAAAGACGTGGCAGTTTATCTCCTTTTAAAACAATGTGTTTTTTCCACTACTTTTAAATTTATTTATTATATTTATACAGCCATCCACCTCACAAATGTGACTCTGTGGCATAAAATTTTTACAATAGAAAGGCTTTACTTTGAGAGAGAAAGTGTGTGTGTATTCAAATTGGAAAGCAAATTTGCAAAACCAATTTAATGTACTTCTGCTCCTACATTGTCATTTAGTGAAACAATCCACCATTAAACAATCAGTTCATTTTCGTTTCATTATTTTGTGTTTTATAGGAACCATTAAAATCTCGTGCCCCACAACTGCACTTAGAGTATAGATTTTATAAACACCTCGGCTCTTCAGGTAAGAAATCTTTCTCCTAGGAGTTAAAATGAATTGTGGCAACGGGGTGTAGTGAAACTAGTACTTACCCGTATGTTTGAAAGCTACAAGTACCCTAGAAATCAGAGAGTGCAGTTTTTAGCAATGATAAGTGTAGTGCGTATAACTCATCAGATGCAAGACAGGAGCCAAAGGAACATTTTCTGCACCCCCAAAAACCTTCACTGTTGTTTTTTTAAAAGTAATATATCTCCATTTCGCATTCTTAAACTGATTTGAAACTTGGTGGTCCCTTGGAAAAGTAGTTGGTGATTTGATTGTTTGTCCCAAACAGAAAATAAATAAATAAATAATCTTAGAGGCCATCTGCATAGCTCTGTAAGCCACCATCAAATTCAGTGAATTAATTCTGCCAGCGGTATAAATGTTGCCATGAATGGCTGCACTGGCATAGGTCTAATTCGGAACTTAAGGTTTCCTTTTGAAAAGGAAAGATCAAACGAAATGTGATGAAGAAACTTGGCATATATTTTTCTAGCACTTTTATTTTGGTGGCCTACATCAAAGCTGGTAGTTCTTTTATCTGTGACATCCTCTTGCTATAGTGCAGTTAATATTTTTTTTTGTTTGTTTTTGCATTTGTTTCAGTTGAAGGCTTCCCACAGGTATTTTATTATGGTCCATGTGGAAAATACAATGCCATGGTACTGGAGCTCCTTGGCCCAAGTTTGGAAGACTTGTTTGACCTCTGTGATAGAACATTCACTCTGAAGACTGTCTTAATGATAGCAATTCAGCTGGTGAGTCAAAGAACAGTTTCACGTTTTTGTAAACATCCTCCCTTCTTCCAACCTCAAATATTTCCAATTACAGTGCTGTCTTTTTTTTTTTTGACTGCTGTGCAAACTTTTCTTTATAAGTTTCTTTTGGTTCTATTTAACTACCATGGATTCAGCAAAGGGTTTCCATAATGAAGCTCAGGCACTTGAAAGAACACTAGTTAAGCCAAGCTGCTAGTTTGATTACAGGTGATTTGTGGCTAAAATAGGCTGTATCAAATGAGCGTTAGGAACTGAAATCAGTTCATGGACAGTGGCTTTCAAACTGTTTTCTAGGGATGGTTAGATAGTTTGAGGCATGTTGTGGCCTTTTCTTGGTCCATTTGGTATAACAGTGTAGGATTATAATTTAACATCTTTAATGAACAAAATGCCCAACCCAGAATAATTTCTGTGCATTCTTTAGAAGGTAGCTTCTTAAACCGATTATGATCTGGTTAGCTTATATTTTCCATTTCCTTTAGCTAAATAAAGGAATGCATTTTCACTACGGCAAAAAAGCATCTTGGTAGATAAATCTAGTAGGTATTTTCATATCTAGTGATCCTGAACATGCAAACTTTAATTCAAAATACTAGTTTTGAACAGTTAGCAAAGGATTTTTAATTCAGAGATGTAGAGTAACTTACTTACTTTGTCTTTTTATAGCTTACTCGAATGGAATTTGTGCACTCAAGGAATCTCATTTATCGAGATGTCAAGCCGGAGAATTTTCTTATTGGCCGGCAAGGAAATAAGAAAGAACACATCATCCACATAATAGACTTTGGATTGGCCAAGGAGTACATTGATTCTGAAACACAAAAACATATACCTTACAGAGAACACAAGAGCCTTACTGGAACAGCAAGATATATGTCCATTAATACACACCTGGGCAAAGGTTTGTTCAGTATAATATGTTGCACTAATGGATAATTTTCTGTGCTGTTTATATCACACAAACATATTTGGGAGCTGCTAATTTTCATATTGTGACTCTTTAAAATTAGATAGCAATATGACTTCGGCATGCCTGCAATAAATATGAATTCAAAGAAGTTTACGTTACCAGTACGTGTCCTTTCATAGCTGCTTATCAGCTGGGATTGACCTAGTCAGCCAGCATTTCCAAAATTGTCTACTAGGAAGTGAGAACTACCACTGCTTTTATTCAGTATTTCTTCTCCTTCTGCAAGCAAAACAGAACAACAGTAGCTTCTTCTGACGTTATTCGTAATGACACAAAATTGAAATTTTGTGCTTTTCCACATATTGGGAATTGAAAACAAAACGAGTAAATGAAGCTTTTAATCCTGTTTTTTATTAAGAGAAGAATAAATCAGGTTTACACATTACAAAAAAAAAAAGCCGAGCAAAGGTCAGAAATTTGTGATAGGGCAAAACGTCTGGAGAACCCCAGATTGTCCAGTTTAGTTTTAACACAGATGCGTGTTCCATTTGAATGTGAGAATAGCCACCTTGGAGAATATGAATAGCAACTCAGTTCTGTTGTACGTGTAGAACGAACTTTTACTAAATCGGTAATTTCTCAGGCTCCTCGTAGATAACGTTGCTTACGTGTCTCCCTATTTACGGACGTCTTCTTTTTCATACGGGAGTTAATTGCTAGGAATGTAATTACTTACCTAATGTTGATTAAGAATGTTAGAGCAGTGTTCTGTTCTCTTACGTGTTTTAGAACAGAGTCGGCGAGATGACTTGGAAGCTCTTGGACACATGTTCATGTATTTTCTTCGAGGCAGTTTACCATGGCAAGGCCTTAAGGTAGATGCTAAAATGTGCATCAGTTGGGTTTTGGCAGATAGCTTCTGTGTTAATTACCTGCCTCTTCTCACAACTCATTTTTGCTCTCATCCTTTCGGAAGGACTTCTCACTGTCAGCATCCAGGTTTTCCCCCCCACCTAATTTGATAGACTAGATTTGTTCGGTTGGCCGCTCCAGAAGACACTGGGTGGCTTACAAAAATCCCTGAAAATTTTTAAAACAAACCAACCCACAACACCCTATTAATATGATTGAATGATCATACTTTCCCCCTGGCAAGTTAAAAGGGCAGCTAGTATACAGAAAGTCGACCAATTTGGTTTCATTTTGCAGGTGGGAAAAATTTAAATTACTCTTACCCCCCCCCCCCTCCCAGGGTTGGTGTTAAAAAGCAAAACTTGCTGAGTTATGATGCAAATAAAGATGTGTCAGACGACATGCAAGGATTTAGTTAAATGCTTGCCAAACTTTTATAACTCAACTCAAAGATTGTTCCTCTGGTTACTTCACCTGTCCTTCTCTCCAGGACAGCACCCTACATATTATGACCCAATAATAGTTTTTAAAATTAGAATCCTCTGCATTTCACAGGCTGATACATTGAAAGAGCGATACCAGAAGATTGGGGACACAAAGAGGAATACTCCAATTGATGTTCTCTGTGAGAACTTCCCGGGTAAGTTCTGGTGGCTTGTCATTTCTGTAAATTACTCCTAGAAATAAGAACTATTAAAACAGTGACTTTTAGAATGTAGTGAGTACAGAGAAATAAGGTAAAGGTAAAGGCTCCCCTTGGACATGTGTGCTTGTTGTTCCCGACTCTAGGGGGGCGTGCTCATCTCCATTTCAAAGCCGAAGAGCCAGCGCTGTCTGAAGACGTCTCTGTGGTCATGTGGCCAGCATGACTAAACACCAAAGGCGCACGACACTGTGCCACCAAAGGTGGTCCCTATTTTTCTACTTGAATTTGTACTTGCTTTCAAACTGCTAGGTTGGCAGAAGCTGGGACAAATCACGGGAGCTCACTCCATTATGCAGCGCTATGGATTCGAACTGCCGAATTGCAGGCCTTTTCTGATCGACAAGCTCAGTGTCTTCGCCACTGTATAATTTTTTTTAAACCTGGAAACCATAGTTTAATACATTATGTTTAGAGTTGGCCACAAATTTCGATGGCACTTTAAAATCTGACTTTTTCTTGAACCCGTGTGAATAATTACTTGCAAACTCCTGATATTTCAAATATTTCTATTAACTAGGCTGATTTATCATGGTTTGTCAGGCTTGTGACAAGTTGTCCCATTTTGCAATCGACTTCCCATCGGATAAAACATTTTTTGCAGTTGGCTTACAGTCCCAAACATAGGCTGCATTGAATACCTCGTGATGCCCTAGTCTAAAATCAGGCATATTTTATATACTGACTAGGGAATTCTGGGAATTGACGTCTACAAGACTTAAAGTTGCCACAATTGGACACTTCAAGTCTAGACGATACACTTGCATTAAAATAACATAGCAAATCCCAGGTGAAATGTTCAAAGCCTTCTCTCATTGGAGCAAACAGGTAAAAAGCATTGTTGACGCTTCTCTTAGATATCTTGTTGGCTTCTGGTTCTGTCAGGCCTGGTACCAGTGCCCTGGATAGTTGTTGTGTCTCCAGTCGTTCAGTTCTGTACCTGACAGAAGATGGTTTGTCCATCACCAAATTTGAAACTTAAACTGTGGTGCTTGATGCTCTCTTCCTCTGATGGGGAATAAAGAAAAGATCTGAACACGTGTAGCAAACATTGATTAAATGAGGGAGGGTTTCACCTTGAAACTTCTTTAGAACATGGAGTTCTACCAGTTTACTTCAGTTCTTTTAGAAGTGAACGCGGTGGCCATGTGGCTAAGATGCTGAGCTTGTCGATCAGAAAGGTGGGTAGTTTGGCGATTCAAATCCCTAGCGCCGCGTAATGGAGTGAACTCCCGTTACCTGTTCCACCTTCTGCCAACCTAGCAGTTCAAAATCATGTAAAAAAAATGCAAGTAGGAAAATAGGAACCACCTTTGGTGGGAAGGTATCAGCGTTCTGTTTGTCTTTGGCGTTTAGTCATGCGGCCACATGACCACGGAGACGTCTTTGGACAGCGCTGGCCCTTCGGCTTTGAAGCGGAGATGAGCACCGCCCCCTAGAGTCGGGAATGACTAGCACATATGTGCGAGGGGAACTTTTACCTTTACCTAATCCCCGGCAGAGCCTTGCCTGTCTCTGCTTCGAATCACCTGGCCTTTTTATGACTTGGACTTTCTGTTGAGTTCAGCCCTTCCAATCTGGACTCCACAACCCATCAGTGTAAGAAATTCACAGCATACAGAGGTGTATAATCCACATCCCACCATCGCCCAGGCTACTGAAAGCAAGCAGACTGCATCTCCTCCTTAGTCAGGCCTGTGGGTGTGTGAAGATAATATCTGTATTAGAATCCATGAAGTCTTAAATTTCTGCTTCAGCTTGAGTTTTTGAAGTGACCATAGCTACGTATTTTATCTTTATACCCACCGGTGCCCTTTCATTTTTTTTTTTTTCATTTTATTAAGCATTTATAGGCCGCCCTTTTCCCTGAGGGGACTCAGGGCGGCTTACAATAATAGGGGAGGGGAGTGCAGGACAAAACACAAAAAGAAAATGTGAATAAAAATAATTAGCAATAAAAAACCCAAAATTCATTCAACATTCGGGAGGGGCAAAAGTAAAGTCTTATCCCCAGGCCTGACGGGATA